TATGTTTAAACAGCTTACATTTAAAAGAATTCAAAGGATCAGAAATATAGATTTAATTTTTTATTTATTGATATTGAACATTTATTAAACTTCCTTAACTATATATATCTATGACCAAAGAAAAAATGTATATCTATTAATTGTGAGAAATATGATCAAGTTATTTGACACATAACTTGCGGTTGTTATTTCTATAATAATGTGGCACAATTTTGACACCTGATATCAGCATAACAAGTTCTAATCTGTGCTAAAATCATAAAACCTTTCAGAAAATAATGAAATGGTGCTATGTCTGCAAACAATTTTCAGTAAAACATCAAATTATTTTTTATTGATTAACATTGCAACTTAAAAACAAATTTATATAGCAAAATAATTATATCAATCCTTTTTAATATGTACAAGAAAATGGCATTAAATGCTTACCTCTAAATTATGTCTGGATCAATATAATCGGCAACATTATGACCTTCCCACAATTCAGGGATAATATCATACTTCTGATCATCCTCTATTACATAATTTTCTAAAAACAAACATTTTTGTAATTAAATTAAATTAATAAAAAAAACAGTGGAATTGAATAAAATCCAACTTACTTTTGAGATCTAAAATATAATCATCCCCTAATTCCTCTTCAAGGTCTCTTTCCTACAAGCAGAAATGGAATATTATTGCAAAATCAAGTAACATATCAGAATTTTATGTTAGACGAATCTAAAAGAGAAAATTTTATTACACTTTTCTCTTAGAAAATTAGAGTCTAATCTAAAAGCTTTATATTTTTTTGTATTATGAATGGCTACACAGTACAGAACTGCTGTTATCAAAACCAACAAGAGAAAAAAGAAATTTAAGTTTATTTATTCTCCATAGGTATTATTTATTTTTCTCATTCAAATTCAACATTCTGACCAATTCACTAAACTAGTCATCTATTTGAATTAAAGCAATCATGAGACTATTTTTTATTGAATTATTTCAAGATAAGCATAGATAAACAGTTGGCTTAAATTTTAAAACTGCAAGTGCTATATTGAAAAGATTTAGAAAATTTGTATAATAAAATAACTAAATTTTATTTAAAACAAACTTCATGAAAAAACTGCAGACTGGCATAAATATTCACTTATTGAGCAACAGATTTTTTTTCTCACTTATAAGTATAATTCTTTTTAAATTAAATAAATATATAATTTAGAGCCATGTTTAATAATAATAATACTGCAATAATACTTTTATGATACTAATAATGATACTTTTATCATCTATTTGAATTAAAGCAATCATAAGACTATTTTTTATTGAATTATTTCAACATAAACATGGATAAACAGTTGGATTAAATTTTAAAACTGTAAGTGCTGTATTGAAATGATTTAGAAAATTTGTATAATAAAATAACTAAATTTTATTTAAAACAAACTTCATTAAAAAACTGCAGACTGGCATAAATATTCACTTATTAAGCAACAGATTTTTTTTCTCA